TTCCTGCCCTTCTGATGCTGCTTGGCCTGCTGTGTTCATCCAGCTCTACACCTTGTTGTTTTAATGTTAGTTCCAGTTTTAGGCATTTGGGAGGCATCTCCTGAACTCCGATTGTCTCAGGAAGCTGTTATAGGATAATCTGTTGATTATCACACTTGGAGAGGTTGTGTTGGCCTTGAAGCAATGCAGCAAGAATATAATGGCTCCAGGGCTCAAATTTTGAAAAGCAATTACATAAATCAGTTCTTAAATTCTCTGAAATATAGGGTACAAGGTGATTTCATTCAAATTTTAAGATTTTTAAAGGAATTGATCGAGTTCATAGCAAGAAATCTTTTTTGCTAAGAGTCTAGGATAAGTGAATGTAACCTTGAAATGAATATCACACTATTCAAGAGACCATCAGAAACATTTTCAAAAAAAGTGTAAAACATTCTCCCATAAGCAGTAAATACATACATCCCATTAATTAATAATTTGAAATCCAAGTTGGATAAATTGTTTGTAGCCAAGGGTAGTACGGGACGTGAAGTCAAAGCAATTAAGATACAGATGAACCTTAATCTTCGAACAACAGTCCTCTGTCAGACTGATCTACTTCTGTTCCTGTCTTAATGCATTTTGATTTATTTAACATTGGGAGTGGAAAGGCAATACCTGTGACTGAGGCAGTGGTGAATAGAAATTATTATCGAAACGCAGAGCCCTTTGAAATTGAGAAAGACCAGTTGATGTAATCACCATCCTGTTAAATGATTTTGGCATGGTTTCATAGTCCTGAATGTCTACTCTGTATATTAACTCTTCTTGCATTGTTTTAGGTTTTACTTCTGGACTGTACCAATGAATTATAAAAAAGAATATAAAAGTTTGTTCTAAAGATAACCAATTGAATAGCAGTCTTCTAAAGCCCTCATTTATTGAGATCCTGTAATGTGTGAATGCTAAGATTGATACACTAACAAAAATGCTAATCAAGAACACTGGTCAAATCTTGAACGCTTTACCCTTTGTCAAGAAACAGTTTGGGATTAACCAGTTCTTTATACCTAAGAATTATGCTCCTAAATTTTTCTTAAAGGAGCTAGTTCATTTATTCCACTAAATCAGGGGCCTCACTGAGTGAACTAATTAACTTTCGCCAATTGTCTGAAGTCTGAACAAACTCATAGACTGACAGTTGGTTATTCAGAGTAAAATAATAACTTGTGCTTAAACATAAACATTATGTACATATAAAGTTGACAAAGGAGAGGTTTCAAAGACAGTTATATCACAGTAAATCAACATTAACCGCTTTCTGATTAGAAGGTTGATTAGTGCTTGAGTTTGATAGAAATTAGAGAAAGGTATTTAGGTTTAGACTTATTAGCTGGCAAAGTTTAAAGCATTAAATAACTGGTCTAATGAATAGGTCATAAGGTCTACTTGTGCTTACAATCTCACTGAGCTATAGCTCAGAAGTGGTAACCATTTTTTATGGGAAGGTAGTGTTAGCCTCTTGAGCAAAGTTAATCATGAACCCCAATATTTAGAGTGACCACCTGTCTCTTCTGGATCCTCTGCTCCTGGACAAATTCACTGGTGCTGGTAGCTGTTTCTTGCTTTTGTTGTAGTTTAACTTGAAACTTGGATGTCTTGGTGGAATGTGATTGTATCTAGCTGACAAACAACTTAATATTTAACCTTCCTGTAATCTTTCTCTATTGGAGATGCTGTTTTGGATTTTACAGATGGCATTCTGCATATACCAGGCAGAGAACCTTTGCACCTACCACAAAGAACTTGAGCTAAACTAATAATGACCTGTAGTGTCAAAACACTAGCCTTGCTTGCAAAGAAATCTCCATTCTATGAATCAGTGATATTTCTTAAAGTTCAGTCCTCTGGTGTTAATTACCTCACAGATAGTAGGAACTGCAGATGCTGGAGAATCAGAGACAACAAGGTGCAGGGCTGGATGAACACAGCAGGCCAAGCAGCATCATAGGAGCAGAAAGGCTGACGTTTCAGGCCTAGACCCTTCATCAGAAAAGGGGGAGGGGAAGGGAGTTCTGAAATAAATAGGGAGAGAGTGGGAGGCGGATAGAAGATGGATAGAGGAGAGGATAGGTGGAGAGGAAACAAACAGGTCGAAGAGGTGGGGATGGAGCCAGTAAAGGTGAGTGTAGTTGGGGAGTTAGGAAGGTGATAGGTCAGTCCAGGGAGGACGGACAGGTCAAGGGGGCGGGATGAGGTTGGTCCGTAGGAGATGGGGGTGCGGCTTGAGGTGGGAGGAAGAACAGGTTAGGGAGGCAGGGACGAGCTGGACTGGTTTTGGGATGCGGTAGGGGGAGAGGAGATTTTGAAACTTGTGAAATCCACATTGATACCATTGGGCTGCAGGGTTTCCCCCATACCTCCTCCCTCACCCCCATCCCAGGCCCCAAGAAGACTTTCCACATCAAGCAGATGTTCACCTGCACATCTGCCAATGTGGTATACTGCATCCGCTGTACCCGGTGTGGCATCCTCTACATCGGGGAAACCAAGCGGAGACTCGGGGACCGCTTTGCAGAACACCTACGCTCGGTTCGCAATAAACAACTGCACCGCCCAGTCGCGAACCATTTCAACTGCGCCCCCCCCCCCCCCCTTCCTCAGACGACATGTCCATCCTGGGCCTCCTGCAGTGCCACAACGATGCCACCCGAAGGTTGCAGGAACAGCAACTCATATTCCGCTTGGGAACCCTGCAGCCCAATGGTATCAATGTGGATTTCACAAGTTTCAAAATCTCCCCTCCCCCTACCGCATCCCAAAACCAGTCCAGCTCGTCCCTGCCTCCCTAACCTGTTCTTCCTCCCACCTCAAGCCGCACCTCCATCTCCTACCGACCAACCTCATCCCGCCCCCTTGACCTGTCCGTCCTCCCTGGACTGACCTATCACCTTCCTAACTCCCCACCTACACTCACCTTTACTGGCTCCATCCCCGCCTCTTCGACCTGTTTGTTTCCTCTCCACCTATCCTCTCCTCCATCCATCTTCTATCCGCCTCCCACTCTCTCCCTATTTATTTCAGAACCCCCTTCCCCTCCCCCTTTTCTGATGAAGGGTCTAGGCCCGAAACGTCAGCCTTTCTGCTCCTATGATGCTGCTTGGCCTGCTGTGTTCATCCAGCCCTGCACCTTGTCTTAATTACCTCACAGCCTTGTTAACCTCTAAAGCAAAAAACACCAGAATCTAAAAGTGCCAGATCATTCATTCAATGATACACCTCCACCCCCAAACGTTTTGAGTCTTGTCTAGCAAAAGGATTAAATATGGGTTCAAAAGAGGCATCTTTATTGCACCACACCCATTTTAGCATAAGCTGTTTTCATCCTAGAATCACTGATTATTAACCTTTTTGAGAACACTCGCATGATTCTTAGAATTTCTCCTACAGTTGCAAGACTGATTTAGTACCACTGTTTCTAGTTGATCAATTCAGAACTGCTGTCCTAATCCTAAAGTGTCCTATTTTATGTTATCCATGTTTTAGTTTATGAGAAATTGTAGCAACACTAAGAATTGTGATTGTATTAAAATCCTGACCATTCCAGAATAATGAATCCTTGGGACTTGTGATACAGCATAATACAGAAAAAGAATGCTGATTTCAATATAGTCCCCTACGCTGCCTTTGGTTCCCAATCAGTTTGTGTATGTAATGGGAAGTAAAAGCTGGTTCATTCCAACGTATTGTTTGATGGTTTTTTCCCTGTGCTCATTAGGATCGAGGCATGGATGTTAGTACAGGGAAATAAAAGTTTTCTCATAGTCATTTAGACAGCTTTTACTTTACAACCATAGCATTGTTGCGGAATGGTTAGCTTTGTCCTTAGTGAAATTATAATGTACATGGGAGTCACAGTCAAGTTTGACTTCAGTGTTAAACAGTGCTACAGTTGTAGTGTAAATGCAGTCTTGGCCTCAGTAAGTGTTGGAATTAATTTCATAAGAGCCCTTAAAGCAATAGAAGGAGGCTGTTAACACAGCTGGATGTTGAATTTAATCCTACTATCAAGTTAAAGGATAGCATGATCGTCATGGTACCCACTCTTAATGTATTCTGGATATTAAAACCTGTGGAAATAAAGTGGATGACCTGTATGGTTCTTTTAATTTTTTGTTGCAGATTTGCTTAAAAAGTTTGCCGCACAGTTTTTATTAAAGTAGCAAATTACTTCACTGGAGTGCTTATTTTATCATCTGAGCCAAAGGAACTTGCATACTATCCCTGATTTATTGAAAATAAGTAAAAGTTAATTTGTTTATCCTTAGCCCAATAGACAATTCAAAAACCAAAATCCCAAAATGGATGGAGCAAGTTTAATGGGAAATTAAGATTTACACGTTTTAATCTGAACCCATATACCTCATCATGCTGAATATTCTTTTTCCATTAAGGTTAATATACATGAAGAAGGTGGAATAATGGAAGATAATCAAGATAATGACTATACACACAAGTATTGCAGATCAGTCAAATAAATTTGAAGCTGAAATGAGAGCGAAGAATGGTCAGATAGAAGAGCATGCATGGTGTAAGGCATTAAGTGGTTTGAAGGTGAAGAATACTCGGTGTGAGAAAACTGAAAAATGAAGAATGAAGAAAAGAAAAAAGTAAAAGCAAGTGAAGTAAATTTAAAAGAAGGTGTCTGAAGAAAAGATACCTAGGCCAAGTAATGTATATAGTCTATTTGTGTCTGTATGCTACAGTTGTAGTATAAATTGCATGCTAAAATTAATAATCAGATGGATTTATAGACAAAAAATTGGTACAATATGATTTTAGGGAAATTTTAACGTTCTAGCTAGGTTAATTGGGGTTTGGTTTATTAGGGAGGTGGTTGAGGAGAAATTAAGTGTTGTAGTTGAGAATAAGATATTTGCCTGATTAGGTTGGAGTTGAAGTTTTTACATGTTTTTTGTTTGCTAATGAAATGTTCCAATGCTTTAGAATGGGAGGTCAACATCAAGATCACGGAGCAGGAGTACAGCTGAACGTGCCAAGTCCAGAAGTCGATCTGAGTCGCGTTCTATATCAAGGGCATCAAACCTGTCAGGATCACAAACATCATTCTCTAGATCTCGTTCAAGGTCCAGGTCGCGGTGAGTGAAAGTGCTATAGAAGAACTTGTATATCTTTTAAGTATGTATACTGAAAATGTCTGAAAATTTATAGTGTGAAGTTTACATTCTTATTAGAATTTGCATGTCTTTTAATTTTGTCTGTCATCTATCTAGACGTGATGTTAAGCCTTTTTTTTGCTACTGACCTTGTAAATGGCAAAATCTATAGCAAGCTGACTACTGAACAGGACAAACGGACTAGAGATTAAGGCAGCTCCTGAGATTGAAATTGGCAAACGGGGGATGTGGTATTCTGCAAGGAATTTTTTTTTGACACTGATTCATGTGTGGAATGAACTTCCACAGGAAGCAGTGGATGCTGGTACAGTTATAATGTTTAAAAGACACTTTAGATAAGTACATGCATAAGAAATGTTGAGGGAAATGGGCCAAGCACAAGTGGCAGGGCTAGTTTAGTTTGGGCTTATGGTTGGCATGCTCTGGTTGGACTGAAGGGTCTGTTTCCATACTGTATGTCTCTGCTGGTGGGACAGCTATGCATAATTCAAATATACTATTTGAACTCAAATTGAACTACAACTTCATAATTTCTGGGTGGCTTCAAATAACCGGGTAATGTAGATCAGTCTTACCCAGCTCCTTTCTTCCTCTTCCGTCTAACAAAAGAATGTGTTCTCGACAAAATAGTGTTCAAGGTAGTAGATAAAAGACAGGAAGTAGGAGAAAGGCCCTGAGCCTGATCTCCTACGTCAGCTACACCAACCCACACTTTGCACAAATCCCTAGCTTTCCTTAGTACATAAAAATGTGTCTAACCTACAACTTGAATATATTGTTGAGTATCTGTGGTAGAGAATGTCAAAAATATTGAATTCCTTTAGGTGACAATTACTTATCCAAGCCCAAGGGTGAGCAGCCTCACGCTAAGATTTTAAACAAGCTGTTGACTCCCCAGCCATGGGAAACATCATACCAGCGTCTCCCTGTTCAAGCCTTTTAAGAATTTTGTATGCTTCAGTGAGGTTTGTCTATTCTGCCATTCATTTGAGCTGAGGCTGGAACATAAACTTTGATCTGTGAGTGAATGCTACTGTCACCAATTTCCTCCATGCAAGTTTATTCTCATTAAAATAAGTTAATTAAGAATTTAAATGTTTAATTTAAATCAATCAGTCACTTTCTTACATCCTTGATTTTACATTCGGGTGATATTTTTAATGCTTCAAACACTGATTAGCTCTTTCCCATGCCATTCTTTAGGAAGTATTAACTTTGCATTGGTCTGTCTGGTTGTCCTTCCAATATCTATTTCTGATTGCTGACATTCAACATGTGAACCTGAAATGAGTCCCATAGGATATACCAGCCTGACGCTGACCTCGAGTCATGCAAACTAGCTTTCTCCTTCCTGATCAAAGCCTGGGGACGATTGTTGCACTCTTACTGTTCCATCTAATTTGGCTCATACAAAAACTTTCTGGCATTAAAGAAAAACTGTTTTTAATCAGTTTAAAACCACCAACCTTGTCAACAACTCCTTTCCAAGCCTTTCCTTTGATAACTTGATTAAAAACAGCTTTTGCTTTAAACCTGTATTAAACTGTTTTCATTGCAGTATGAATTTTGATTCAAACTTAGTCATGTAGCAAATGCCTCCTGTTTAGGAACAGTATGACTATCTGTAGCTCCCAGAATACTAATTCACTGTACCCTGTCTTGCACAAACATTACATATTTTAATAAATAAAACTCCACAGAAATAGCCCCAACCAGTCCGTGATTGTGTTCCATTTGAGCCCTCATCTGTCTTTCCTTACTAATTGGCTTAAGATGAGGTCAGATTGACAGCAGGGCCTCATTTGACGAAGTATGGTATTGAGAAGCCATAGCAAAACTGGAATCAGTGAGAATCATTGGGAAAACCCTCCACTGTTTGGAGTCATACCTGGCAGGTAGGAAGATGATTGTGGTTGTTGGTCAGTCATCTCACTCCAGGGCAACTCTGCAGGAGTGGCCTCGGGTACTGTCCTAGGCCCAGTCAACTTCAGCTGCTTTATCATTAACCTTTCCTGTATCATAAGGTCAGAACTGGGGATGTTCACCGAAGATTGTCTGCTGTTCAGCACCATCTCTTGATGAAGCAGTCTATGTTCAAATGCAACAAGACCTGGGACAATATCCAAGCTTGGGCTGACAAGTGGCAGGAAACATTCAGCTCCATAAATGCAAGGCAATGTCCATCTCAAAGAAGATCCTGCAGGTTATTATTGAGAAACTCAACTGCGCACTCTCTCTACAAATTCATTGTCTACAAGAGCAGGTCAGAGGCTAGGAATATAACAGAAACCACACCCCCACCCAAATTCCTGAAAGCCTATCTACCATCTACAAGGCACATGATAGGAGCATGATGGAATATTCCCCACTGGCCTGGTTGAGTGAAGCTCCAACAGCATTCTAGCTTGACATCAATCTAAGACAAAACAGCCCACTTGATCAGCACCATAGCCACAAACAACCACTCCCTCCACCATTAGCAGCAGTGAGTACTATCTACAAAATGCACTGCAGAAATTTTGCCAAAGATCCCTAGACTGCACCTTCAAAACCCATGACCACTTCCATCTAAAAGGACTTGAGCACAATATATGGGAGCACCACTATCTGCAAGTTCCCCTCTGAGCCACTTGCTGTCCTAACTTAGAAATATATTGGCTGTTCCTTCATTTTGCAGGGTGAAAATCCTGGAATTCCCTTGACAGCATTATTCATGTACCTACTGTATACTGCAGTGGTTCAAGGCAGCTTACCACCACCTTCTCAAGGGCATCTAGATAGGGCAATAAATGCTGGTCAGACGAGTATGCCCAAATAAAACCTCTTGCTGTCTGGTCTAAGCTTCCCATTAAATGCTTCTGTACTATTTGCCTAAATTGCTGTCTGGTGATAAGTAGTACATTCTCTCAACTTGGTATATTCCTTGCTCAGTGCTGTGTTACTTAGATTTATGCTGTAAGCTAATGAGGGAAACTGTCAAGCCCCTCATTCAAATTTAGTCACTAGCTGTCTGAGGAAATAAGTTTAATTTGAGATCTACTGTTTGCATGTAAAGTAAGAATTGCATTAATACCCTGTCTTGCTCAGCCTTGTGTTACTTTAATGCACTGTATAGCTAATGCACTATCTTAAGTGTAGTTGCTGCTGTAATGTAGGAAATAAAGGTTATTCCATTATAAAAGCACCTCTAATAGAATTGTCTACTTGTATTATTTTAACAGGTCATGCTCTCGACGTCGGTCCAAGTACTATTCTCGATCCAGATCTCACACACGGTCATACAGGAGGAGGCACAGGAGCCGATCCTACTCCCCTGTCTACAGACGGCGGCGAAGCAACAGCCACTCTCCCATATCGAGAAGGCGACGTCATATTGGAAATAGGGTCAGTGTATGTTATTACTGTTTTTAATGATCAGTTCCTGTGAAGTTTAAATTGCAAGAAAGTTGCAGTTTTGAAAGTCATTTCTCAACCAATAATCATGGATCTTGCAAGTGCTGCATCATTGCCTTTTGGCAGCGCAATTGTACAGAGTACGGGAACGGGTTACAACAATATATTGAAGTAGATTAGCAGTTCAAGATCTCATTTAACTGCAGTCCTAACTATATAGTTTGGATCTCCGTCAGAACAAAAGGTAAATTCATTAGTTTACCTATCAATCAGTCTATCTTGAGCAAGCTGTAGAAGAAAATGTGGTCCTACATTGCACTTATTCCTTAACACTCTACTTGTATCTTAATGCATTTCCTAAAAACGTAAGTATGACTTTAGTACTGTGGAGCCACGACCAGAAATAAGGCTGTATACTAAGTGACCAGTTAGTGCCATGAAAGATTTGGCAGGAAATTTAAATGTTTTTCATTTAGCTTTTTACAAGACCTTTGACTTGATTCAATTTGCTTAGTGCTTTTTCACTTTGAGTCTTCCAAATGATTGTTTTGCTCTTATTTGGTTTTCCTGCATTTTTGAAAAACCAGTTCGCACCATGTGTATTTTCTGACCTCCTGTCAACTGTCTTTCAATGCTGGTTGAGCACAGGCTACTGATGGGTGCACAGAGAAGCTGAATTGAGAAGGAGGAGGAAGAGGTCACACAGAATTGTGATTCAAAATCCAAATTTGTAGCAAGGATTGTGCATTGCCTTCCAAAGCCCCTAAAACAGGATTACTGGAACTAATGTTGTGATGCCCTTATCTTAGACCACTTGAATAATGTGGCAAATGCTCACGGGTGTCTGATGGTAGAACGTTGCTCCAGCAAGCACAATTCCTTACAGGAGTGGTAAAAATTTCACAAAACTGTGAAAGAGGGAATCCCTTGCATTTTCTGTAGTGTTATAGAGCAGAGACCTAGGGGTTCAGATACGTAATTCTTTGAAATTTGTGCCACAGGTAGACAGGGTGGTTAAGAAAGCATTTAGCACACTTGCCTTCATTGGACCTTTTGACTATAGGAATTGGGATGTCATGTTGAGCTTGTACAAGACGTTGGTCTCTTACAGAGTACTGTGTGCAGTTATATGAAGATTATTATGAAGATGGAGTGGATTCAGAAAAGATTTGCCAGAATATTGCTAGGAATGGAGGGTTTGAGTGATAAAAATAGATTGGATAGGCTGAAACGATTTTCGCTGGAGAGTTGGAGATTAAGGGGTGACCTTTGAGGTTTATAAAATCAATAGGGGCATAGACAAGGACAACAAAAGTTGTTGTTTTTTCCCCAAAAGTGGGGGGGTTCAAAACTAGGAGCTATATTTTTAAGGTGAGAGGTGCAAGATTTGAAAAGGACATATGGGGCAACTTTTTTACATAGTGGAATGAATTGCCAGAGGAAGTGGTGGATGCAGGTACAGTTACAACATTTAAAAGACAACTTGGATGAAATCATGAATAAGAAAAGTTTGGAAGGATATGGGCCAAGTGGAACTAGTTTAGTTTGGGAACGTGGCCGTTGTGGACCAGTGGACCAAAGGGTCTGTTTCCACGCTGTATACTCTGACCCTATTATACAGTTATGCAGATAGACATTCAACAGCCATAGGTTTGTCAAGCTCCTTCTCGTGCCTTTATTTTCTCTGCTTTGTTGATCAAAATTATTGCTCATGAATAAAATTAATGTGGTTTAAATAATTTTAAAAGCAATTTCTGAAAAGAAACATAATTATAAGGGTTAACAAGGTGTAGAGCTGGATGAACACAGCAGGCCAAGCAGCATCAGAGGAGTAGGAAAGCTGACGTTTCGGGGCTTCTTCAGAAATGGGGGAGGGGAAGGGGATTCTGAAATAGAGAGGGGAGCGGAGGCGAATGGAAGATTGATAAAGGAGCAGATAGGTGGAGAGGAGACTGACAGGTCAAGGAGGCGGGTATGGAACCAGTAAAGGTGTGTATTTGGGGAGTTAGGGTGGGGATTGGTCAGTTCAGGGAAGAGTGACAGGTCAAGGAGGCGGGGGTGGGGGTGGGTGTTGAGGTGGGAGGAATGGATAGGTGGGAGAAAGGACAGACAGGTTAGGGAGGCGGGGACGAGCTGGCCTGGTTTTGGGATGTGGTTGGGGGTGGGGAGATTTTGAAGCTTGTGAAGTCCACATTGCTACCATTGGGCTGCAGGGTTCCCAAGCGAAATAGGAGGTACTGTTCCTGCAACCTTCGAGTGGCATCGTTGTGGCACTGGAGGAGGCCCAGGGTGGACATGTTGTCCAAGGAGTGGGAGGTGGCGTTGAAGTGGTTGGCACCTGGGAGGTGCAGTCGTTTGTCGCGAACTGAGTGTAGGTGTTCCACAAAGCGGTCTCCAGGCCTCCGGAGGAACCTATCTGCTCCTTTATCCATCTTCCATCCGCCTCCACTCCCCCTCTATTTATTTCAGAATCCCCTTCCCCTTCCCCCATTTCCGAAGGGTCCAGACCCAAAACGTCAGCTTTCCTGCTCCTCTGCTGCTTGGCCTGCTGTGTTCATCCAGCTCTACACCCCGTTATGTCAGATTCTCCAGCATTGGCAGTTCCTACTATCTCATAATTATAAGGGTGTTTTGATATAATGGAAAACAAACTGAAACCCAGGTGGAAGGGGCTTTATCTGTTAATTTTACCTCTGCGTTCAGTGATACTGATTATTTTTGGGTCAGGTATCTGAATGTTAATCTGCCAAATTGCAGACAAAACCAAAAGTCAGTGAGGCTTATTGTTCTAAACATTGGCTTATAGCTGAAAGAAGAAATGAATATCTCCAAACAAGTATACATTCCATTAACCACAGTTCCAGGTACATTTGCAGAGAGGTAGCATTCTATATTTTAAATATTAATGTCATTATTGTCCCATGAAATGAACTCTGAAAATTGTAATTGATCTATTGTTTTGGTTTCTTTTCTAGAGTAATCCAAACCCTAATAATTGCTTAGGCGTGTTTGGCCTGAGCTTGTACACCACCGAACGGGAACTACGTGAAGTATTTTCGCGATATGGACCCCTTGCTGGAATAAATGTTGTCTATGATCAACGGACAGGAAGATCGAGAGGATTTGCATTTGTCTACTTTGAAAATGTCGAAGACTCAAAAGAAGTATGTTTGAATAACAGTATGTGTACCCAATTAGGGAAAATCTAAGCTTTTTTTCTGTAACCACTGTTCAGTCAGAAATAACAAATTCTTGCTTTGCTGACAATCCAAACTGACATGTAATTTCTGTCCTAAGTGAAGTCATATCAGAAAGTTTAAAATGTTGCCTTTCCCTAGGTTTTGCCACGAATGGGATAGTTAAATCTAGTACACAACTGATAACTTTGCAAAAGCAATAAATATCAGATCTATTGCTACAATTTGTTTACGACCTCAAGGTAAACCAACTTGTATATTTAACTACTAGTCAAAACTTCCTTTTCCTGTTGTGCTGCTTTCCATGAATTTAAAACAGGATAACATCAAGTAACTGGCCCTCTAGTGTATGGAAACCTTGCTGTGAAGGAGATTATTTGGTAGCAGAACTATTTAAGAACAGAACATTTTAAGTATTCCATTTTTTTTCAACCTTTGCTCAAGGCATTAGTGTTGCTTGAGGTACAGTTCCACTGGTTACTACTGTTCTTGACCCAAGTGACTTCTCCCTTCATGTCTTAAATCAACAAGGTTTTAGTTGGGTTGTAAAGTGTGCCACACCTGAACCTCAGTGGAACGCTACTGGCTAGCCTGAGTCCCTAAGCAATGCTCCCTATAATTCGAGTCCACTGGCACTGCGCAGTTCTTTTTAAGGTAGGTGCACAGCTGTGTATGCACGCATTTTAAAGTGAACATTGTTGTGTGCAGCCTATTTTGTGTGCTACTTAGTATGGTAGATTGTTGTGTGGCCATACACTCATCCAGCTTAATGGAAAGAATGACCTTCAGGCTAACTATAGTGGTTCTGTCTATGTGACAGAAGTGACCTTGATGAAGTGATGTTAGTTTCAATGGTAGTATCAGTAACTTTTGTTTGTTGATACAAATCTAGGTGGAAAAGTAAGCTATGGGAAGGACACAGGCTGCAAAGAGGTTAAATGGGCAGTGAGGTGGATAGTAGATTATAATGTAGGGAAGGGTGAGGTTATTCACTTGGGTTGTAATATGACAGATTTTTTACAAAACTTCTGTGATGTTCAAAGAGACTTGACTTACTCATGCAAAGTATGAAGAAAATTGGCATGCAGCTACAGCAAGTAGTTAGGAAGATGAGGAATTAAGCCTTTCTTTAACCTTTTATGTGTTCATAGACTTCTGGGTTCCCTTTTGAATTAACCACTAATCTATTGTCTTTTTTCTTTGTCCTTTCTTCCTTTAGATCTTTTACCTACATTCTACAACATCCTAGTTCTCTATCAACAAATGTTCTGTCAGAATTTACAGCAGAAGACACAAATGTCATTCCTGAAGTAGACAATAAACTAAGAGTTAAAGTAGGAAGTTGAGATTAGTATCAGCAACAAAAGTGTGTTGTAGAAATTACAGACCAAAATTCAACAAATCTTTGGGATGTAGATCAGGTCCCAGAGTTCTGAATGTGTTAACCACAGTGATAGTGAATGCGATAGTTTTCTAAAATTCCTTCTTTCTAGGAATGGTCCCATCAAATTGGAAATTGGCAAACGTTACTATTTTTTCCAAGAAAAGAGTAAGAAAAATTGGAACTACAGACTAGTTAGCTTAATCATTGTTGGGAAAAGCTGGAATCTTCTATTAAGGTGACGGTTAGGTAAGGTAATCTTAACGCACTTAGAAAAGAATAGTATGACTAAAACAAGTCAATATAGTTTAACTAAAGGAAAATCCTCATTCAAAAACTTGAAGATTTTTGAGGTTGTAACGAGTGACAAAAAGGGAAATCAGATGTAATATGCTTAGATTTTCAAAGGGCATTCATTAGGGTGCTACAGAAGGTACATAGGCAAGATGAAGGTTCATGGAGTTGGGGATGATACAGTAGCATAGATGGAGAATTGGTTAGTGAACAAGTAGAGTGTGGGCCTGAAATATGCAAGATTCTAAAGGAGTGTCATGGGGCAGATGTGGTAGACATGGCACAATATCAGGCTAGGATGCAGATTGTTTAGGACTGAAGAAATTTCTTCACCTTAAGGTTTGTGAATCTTAGGAATTCTCTGATCCATAGGATTACGGAGTCTCTATCACTGAATGCATTTAAGGCTGGGATAGTCAAGGATGGGTTTCAGAATCATGGGATATGGTAAGTAACAGAAAAGAGATGTTGAAGGGCAAGATCAGCCATTATATTGAATGGCAAAGCGTGCTGAATGAGCTGTATGGTCTACTTTTTTAAATTTCTGGTGTTAACCATGCAATTGTATTTAGCCTCCTTTTATCTTATTTTGACTTCTGTGCCTTTAGTCAATCAAGAAGTTCTGGATTTGGCTGCTCCTTTCTACCTTTTTGGGAATGTCTCAAAAATAGGAAAAAGTGGAAATGCGGAGCATTGGTAGGAAAATCTGAATTGCAGTCTGTTGTAAATGGAGAGAGGCTGGGAAGTTTTCAACTTCAAAGGGACTTGAATGTCTTTGTTAACGTATTACTGAAAGTTGCATGTAGGTAAGCAATTAAGGCAATGGCATGTTGGCCTTATTATAAAAGGGATTGAGTATAGAAGTAAAGATGTCTCTAATTTATAGAGAATCTGCGAGTCCATGCTTGGAGTATAGTGGGTAATTTTGGTCTCCTTGCTTAAGGAAAGAGATACTTTGCTATAGAATGCAATAAAGATTAATTGAATTCTTTTTGGATGGAGCGATTGCTTTTGAGGAAAGATTAAATATACTGTGCCTATATTATTGATTTTAGAAAAGAGGGGTAATCACATTTGAAAGTGCAAAGTTCTTCTAGGGATCAACAGGGGTGAATGTAGGAAGGATGCTTCCCTGACTGGGGGATTATAGAACGGGGGATGCAGTCTCAGTAGCGGGTAGACCATTTCAGATTAAGATGAGAAGCTTCTTTTCTGGATGATAGATCAATAGGGCTGTGGAAGCTCTGGTATGTTCAAGCTTGAAACAGATTTCTACAAAAAGCAAGAAGGAATACTAGGGTAGTGCAGGAAAATTATGTTGAAGTTGAAGTACGGCACCATCTCATTGAATGGAGGCATGGGCTTGAAGGGCTGAAGACTTACTATTCTTTCTCATGTTTAATTATGTCTATTCTGTAACCACATCTCTCCAAAGGCCTCCATTGTTAATTAGTTTTGTTCACTGATTTTCGATTCCAAGGTTGGCCCTTGACCAGTGAAGACTTCTTACACTTGGACAATGTATTTTTTGATTAATGTCCTAAAACTGATAGTACAATCACTTCCCCAAATGTTCTCCCATCCAAACATTCCATTTGTCCCACTTTATTCACCAGGGCTAGATCTGACAGTTTCCTGAATCATTGGGCTTGAAACACAATAATCCAAGAAGTTATTTTGTATGCAGATTTCCTGTGTGCTCTTCACATTGTTACTTTTGGCAGTTTATATTAGGATAATTGAAGACTGTCTCGCTACTCTGTAGTTCTCTCATCTTCCCATAATTTGCAAGTTTGCCGCACTAAGTGGCCCCCACAATTTGGTGAGCAATTATATATATCAAACAGGTGCTCTGTTCCTTAATTTAAACCACAACTGTGTTTGACCCATCAACTACATTAGTGATGTTTGTCCTCTAGTGCTATGATTGTTTCATGGAGCAATGCTGCCAATCCCCCTCTCCCTTTTCTTACCTTTTCAAATCCTTGCAGTCAGGGATAATAAGCCAGGTCTGTTTTACGTGGGATGTTATAAATGGCAAAATTATTAGCACTGCCTAAATGTGCCCAGATACACTAAGGGACATGCATTTAAGTTCAGGGGGGAAAGCTCAAAGGAGACGTGAGGGGCAAGTTTTTTTAACCAAGTGATGGGAGTCTGGAATGTGCTGCCAGGTGTGATGGTGGAGGCAGATTCAATAGGGATGTTTAAGGAATTTTTAGATAAGCAATATGCAAGGAATGGAGGGATATAGACCAAAAGCAGGCAGAAGGGATTAGTTTAATTTGGCATCCTGTTTGACATCATAGGCCGACGAGCCCATTCCTGTGCTGTACTGTTCTATGTTCTACATGTTTACTGTTGAGTCAGTCCCTCAAATTAAGTCACGTTGAAACTCATTAAAAGGTGAATTTAAAATGCTGTATGATTTTTGAACAGTTTAATTAAGTAAAAATTTTCCAGCAGTGCACTCTTCCTGACCTAGGTGAGGAAGCCCTATAAGGTTGGTTTGTTTTACCGTTGGGTTCAGTGCTGCAAAGATGCTAAATGTGGGTAGCAAGTTGGGTGTGCGTAATGTACAACAGAACAGTCGAATCAGAGTAAGTACATATTGTGTCCAACCTTTTTGAAACACTGAACACCAATTAATAAGCTTTTTTCTTCGCAAAGACGAAGCCGAGAACTAGTTGTATTGGTCGTACCAGGCTCTACTGAATATTACCGGCCTTCTCAAACAGGGAGGCCTGAAAATGGAATAAAGTGCAAAAATTTATCCATCGCGCAGAAGTATATGTTTAATCCTGTCGTATTAATAGAACGGCCTGGAATATACTTCCCATTTAAGCAAAAACAAACTTGCAAAGGGGTTGTATAAAGAATTTGAAATTGATGCGATTGGCCCAAGCTTTTAAATATTTGTCGCGACCGTTGCAAATCTGGGTACACGTGATCTCCGGGGCGCGAGTTTGATTGGATGAAGAGTCGCCTGGATTGTTGCAAAGTGGAGCTTGCTGATTGGACAGCGTGGCTGAATTTTATTTGTTAACGGTGCGCGTGCAGCTCTTTGTAACTATTCCAGATCGCGGCAGATCCTTGGGATGAGGTGACAATGCTCGCCCTCTAGAGAGGACAAACAGCAAAGCACTGGCCGAGCATCTTACAATAGCTAGATATCTGTTGCACATGTTGAGTGTCGATGATTAAGTTTTGCTGTAAGGTGTTGTCCAGTTCACCTCGAGTCTTCGTGCTTTAAATTTCACATTAGAGCAGCAGTTGGTTTTCTAAGCCCCTAAACAAGCTTGGAGTTTTTAAATACAAATTGCACCTAGAGTTGGTGGTTTGTTTGGGGTGGAGAAGGGTGAAGCGCGGCAATTTGCACTTCTGCATTAGTGCGTAACTAATTTGCTGAGATTGTCAGCCTTCTTTATGAACTGGATAAAGATGAGTCGTTATCAAGCGAAGACTGAGGAAAGGAACAAGCGGAAACCGAGAAGCAAGTAACAGGCCATGTGGTCTGATAGAGAAAACATTGAAAGGCGAGTTTTGCTTTTTTAAAAAAATGTGGATCTGAAAAGGATTCATAAAATTACGTATATAGCAGGTCTTTATGATTAGGGACAAACAGGTGTTTTAAGATTTTGGTAGATTCATTTATAAATGTCAACATATTTTGGGGAAAATAATAGATCGAGATAGTTGATGTCAGTAGATGGGAATATCCACGTTAAAAAAATGTTTATTTTCGTGTTATCTGTAACTTTGGAACATTGTGATGTAGTTGGCAACATTTTCAGCATTTCCGTATTTTTGAAACAAGTGTGGATAGACTGCTAAACTGTTTCATTCCGGCTGATGGAATTCGAGGCTTCCACATTGAATCAGAAGAATACATTTAGATCACTGGGTAATTCCCTATAAATGCGAGACCAACGTTTTTTAAAGTACAAATTCACATTATTAAACCTTCCAATCCAGCAGATAAAATATGAAATTCCACATTGTGCTTGGCCTGCTGTACTGTTTATTTTGCATAATTTGAAATTGCTTATATTTTGGGAGTAGAGGTAAACTTCCATGATAAGCCTTTTTTTAGTAACGTACGAAGTGGAATTTGAAACTCCAGCCTGGTTTACATTGATCTGTAATGATGTGTAAACAATAAACTTTTCAAGTTCCTGATTGCATTTTAAATTCCCCCTCTTCTTTCTCCCCCCCCCCCCCCGTTCATTTTTATTGGAAAGAACAATCTGGTTTAATTAAACTGTTTCTTGGCTTTTCACTTTGAGTAGATAAATGACCTTATTCTTAAATTCCCATTTTGTGAAGCCACTTGTAAAATCCCTTTGCATTAATATCGCTCAACAAATGTTATATTTTTCAATTGGACTGTAATTGAAACTGAAGTAGTCTGCTTTGTGTAGAAAAAATATTATTTGGGCTTGTAGCTCGCAAGTTTGTTAGCATGCTAAAGCCAAATTGTTAGTATAACTTTGCCCCTTACCTGTGTGTTTTAAACATCTTGTTTCTTGTTCATTCTAACTGAATAGTGTTTAATAATATATTAGCACAGATCAGTTTCAGTTACAATAGCATCCTGTTTATGCTACCACATGAAGCTGCAATTCTGACAAGATAATTTGCCTGAGAAGGGTCTAGGCCCGAAACGTCAGCCTTCCTGCTCCTCTGATGCTGCTTGGCCTGCTGTGTTCATCCAGCTCTACACCTTGTTATCTAAGATAATTTGCCTGTTTGGAATATTAGAATAATTTAAAAGTAGTGATTCCACACACTAAAAATTTTGAATCAACTGCAGATAAATGTGCAAATTGGCCAGCTTCAGCATTTTTAATTGAATGTGACAGCAGTTAAGCTAGGCCATGTAGACATCAATTTCAGGTATTAGGGAAAGTATTCACATGCAGGCTTCTTTCTAATTGTGTTGCTGCATAAGCACATCATAACCTAAAGCTCAAGTCAAATTACCTTTTATTGGAAGTTATAAATATTTCATTTAGTTGCTGGAATTTACACTTGTTGCAAGCCACAAGCATAAAGAATGGCACAATCAGTCGTGTTTTTTACCTTCAGGCAAAAGAACGTGCTAATGGGATGGAACTTGATGGCCGACGCATTAGGGTAGATTATTCCATTACAAAAAGACCCCACACTCCAACTCCAGGGATCTACATGGGCAGGCCAACAACGTGAGTTCAGTTTTTCATCAAATCTTATTTTTTTGCACATTACTTTTCTTTTATAGCATTATTGAATTGGGCATGTGCCCCCATTTTTTGACATTTTTCAGCAGTGTTGGTTCTTCTCATTACAATGACTATTACAGTGACCGATATGATGACCGGGATTACAGCTACAGGTAATGCTGGATTCATATTGGATTTGCTTTATTCATAGATATTACCACAAACGTAACTTGAATTCCCTTTCTAAGTTGATTTTCTTGCCTCCTTCAAAAACCATCTGAAACCTGTCTCTTTGCTCGTACCTTTGACAACAGTCTCCCAACCCATCTAATTAACTGTATCCTAGTACCCAACAATTTATCTACATCAAAGATCGAATTGAAAGTGCTCTATATATGCACATTCAAACAAATATTAATTTGAAGGGAATGTGTGAATTGGATTGCTAGATTGTCCAACTGACAACTTTGACTTCTCCAATGTCTAGACTGTAATTCTCGTGCTATTCTGCCCAGTCTTCTATCCTCCATTCTCAGCAAATCACAGCTTATTCTAAACTCTGCTATTCATATCTTGTCCTGTGCTGCAATTCGGCTTCCTGTCCTTTCGCTTTGTACCATTCTTTAAACTGCCCTTAAAGCTAACTCTTTGATCAAGCTTTTAGACATCTGGCCAATTACCTGTTTCTATGATTTGAACAAATTTAGGTTAATGTTCTTGTAAAGTACTTTTTTAAAACATTTGCCGCACTGTATATACTATAGAAATTGTCACTGACCTGTATTTATTCTTGATCTGCAATATTGCCAACTTTAAGTTTTCATACTTCATGGCGCTGTCTTCCTTAGCTTTGAAATTCTGCTGGAACACTCCATTTTTCCAGATTTGACTCCGTTTTCCTCTTTGCCCCATCTTGAGAAGCAATGCCTTTGGCTATGAGGCTGCACAGTCCAGAAATTCCAATCCTGCAAATTCTTCTGTTTCCTTTTAAAAACATAATATAACAGCTCCTTTATCAATATTCTATGACCCCCCCATTTCTTTCTTTGGGTCGGTTGCTGCTTTTGTTTATGTTCCAGTAGACTCCATGAGCCTTGATCTGCATTAAAAGCAAGTATCTTATAAATGCAAGTTGAAGTTAATCATGGTGGCTTATTCTTCCAAACGAGCTTCAATACAACATAATACCATGTACGTTGATTTTAACCTTGTGATAGTTAAATGAACTCCTGGCTGCATGTTAAGTTATGCATGCAAACCTTCACACTCCTTTGCACTATTTTAACTTGGAAATAAGTACTTACCTGCAATCAAATCAGGGCTGTGGATGTTTTTTGTAGTTGAATTACCCTGTATGAGGGAAAGAGAAACAGTCACAAACATACCATTAAAGAGTATTTTAGGACAGTTGTGTTGTCACTATGCAGCAATTAATGAATATCTTTAAATTTTGAGCTAAAATGGATGTGGGTAGTTTCATTTGAAGCTTTGGTGTTTGGTATGCAGTCAGATTATGTGCTGATCATAGTTAAATTCCTGGCTGTATTCTGGATTTCTTATTATGCTTTCATCTTTCCTAGGAGACGTTCCCCTTCACCCTATTACAGAAGATACAGATCTCGATCTCGTTCTTACACACCCCGTAAGTATTGAGACTTATGTTTTCCTTCCTGCCATGGATTTTTTTAAATCTGCAGATTTTGATCTGATGTTATTGTCTTTTTGCAGGTCGCTACTGATGGCACTTACCAAGTATTTCCTACCTGTTTAAAATGGATGGGAACCTTTTCAAACCTACAGGGAGTTTTTTTAAAACTGAAATGAGAATTATTGGGCATTGTAGTGCTTTTTTAAAAACATTTTTAATTATTTTAAGCAAAGCCCTATAATCAGAAGTAGTCTCTCATTTTAAGATTTAGTTTTCTGATGCCTCACTAAATTGTTTTGCTGTCATGGTGAGCGGGAGTCTGTCTTTTTAATGGGAGACCTACAGCAGTATTGTTGCATTAAATGTTATTGCAGTCATATAATTTCTGGTACATATGTACTTATTACTTTGGGATATTAAGCAAGGTGTCATGACTTTATGTGCACACTGTTTGATTTTGCATACTTTATAAGGAAAGATTCAGTTGTAAAGCTGCTTTGTGGGAAGTGATGACATGCAATAAATGTCTTAGACACAGAATATATGACCTGATTTCCTTATGCCGAATAGGCAGCTGTGGTGTTGCAGTTTGCTGAAAGTGCCAGTATGGCTTTTTTTGATGAACCTGTCTTGTGATCTTTGTCTATAAACTGAAAACACCGAATGGTACAATGGACAGAATGGGGAGGAGTTATCATTTCTTACTGTGCTGAAATATTTTGTGCAAATTTCAAAAGTATAACCCAAAAAGTCAGGCTGCACCTCCCCAACCCTCCTTCAGTCTCTAGTTTTTGTCCAAGAGTAGCTGAGTGCCTTAGACCGAGAAGGTCCCAGAGTAAGTACCTTCATTTCTTTTTAGTTAGTAGATTTAAGCTGGGGTGAAAATTTAAATAACCCTTAGTGTTACTAAGTTAAAGGTGGCGGGGTAATGGGATGGGAAATTTGCCAAAGACTTTCCTCCCATCTGTCCAGCATCCTCAGCTGGAGTCTTCCTGGTGTTGAGTAGGTTAAGAGTGAAAGGAACTGGAATTACATGAATTTGTAACAGCCCACGTGTCAATGGCAACCTATCAAAACATTGGTTAATCTGTCATGGAGAAGGAAAGAATTAGCAAGAACTAAGTAATGGAACTGCATGATTAAATGATTTCATGTATGTTGGAAAAGAATTGGAAAATCCAGTTGGAAAATTGTAAGAATCAAATGTTTTTGAGGCAGATGATTAGATGGAGACTTAAGGGTATAAAATAAAAATTTGAGGCTACGACTTGGTTTGCTTGAAGATATTTTAAAATATTTAAAAGGTTCTATAGATTAACTGTTAAGATTATTCCACTTTTGGAAGGATCCAAAATTCGAGGTCTCATTCATAAATCCAAGGAAGGAATTATGAAGAAGCTTAGCTAGAGTGGATAAAATGTGAAACTTGCTACTACAGAGCAGTTGAATGATCAGCTAGAGTACTTTTTGAAAGGAAGCTAGATATGTATAAGTGAGTAATACAGTAGCATGGGAAAAGTCATGTGAAGAATGAATGAATGTTGTAGACCATTTAGATAAAATTGTTTCTATTTTGTACATGTTTTTAAAACTTGACATTTACTCTGGATCTAATAAGAAAAAAGTTACATCAAAAATCTTTAATTTGGCATCCCAAATCCAACATTTATTGTCATCAGAAGATGTGACCATGTATGTTTGATGCTTAGAACTCAAACTTTCAGTGTTAATGTTATCTGTCACCATCACACCATGTGACATAATGTGACCATTGACTTCTTTTGGAGAAAAAGTAATGTCTGTTTCTTTACCTGTATGTACTGATGTTCTGTAAACATGAAGATCAGATGAATTTGTAGGCATGTTTTGTTCTATAGTACATTAAAATTTTGGCTCAAGAAATCCTCTTATTCAAGCTAACCTAGTCAATAAGAGGCTGCGGCTTAGGACATCTGGAAAGAATGATTTTGTTTATGAATGATTGAAGTGTATAATTGTTATTAATATAGTTTCTTGCCTTATTTAAATAACTTTTTTGTGCTGTGCTATGAACAGATTCTTTACCAAAATTCCATTTTGTTTCTTCCTCAATCGTGGTTTGAAAGCATTTGGGTATCTCAATGTTTTGTAAAACTAAAGCTGAAATTGTAAATTATGTAGAGCATACAGCTGTGACTCCATGGTGCCTTAATTGCACAATAATCTATATTTAACAATATAAATATGCTGACCCATTTAGTAGTTGGATACCTGTTTGGAGACTAGGTGAGGTCATGATTAAGCTCACCCATGATTATTTTAGGATAAACTGCCCAAGGAAAATGAGAGAACATGGACAAAGAATGGGATGGCCCCTTGTATGCGATTGTGGACCAACATGAGTCGATTTCTCCTGGATGAAAATTGAGTGACTGCCCCTGATGCAATTTATTGTTACAAATTACATTTGGATTAAAAGATCAAGCTCTGCCAGCTACTGTCATCATACACTGGCAAACTTCCTCCAACGTTCAATGGAAACCTTATTCTAAAGTTCTGAAGAATTCTACCATACACAACTGACTTAAATGGAGCTGGATCCAGATGGAGTAATTCCTTACTTTTCCATGAAACTACTATACATTTACTTGAGTTTTAAGCTCTATGTTCATTTACACTGGGCAATGCACAGCTAACATGGACTATATGGTGGAAAAAAACTTAAGGGGGTCTGATCCTTCATGTGCTGCTAATAATCTATTGCAGGGTATACTATTCAGAAAGCATTATGGTTAAAATGTGACTCATTTGAGACAATGGACAGACAATTGATAAGATGAGATAAAATTGGAAATTCAGTTTGTCATTATATCCATCAGTAATAGGAAATTAGTAAAATAGACAGCAACAAACCAGTTTGTTATTTGGGGGCTGAAAGTAGGGGTTGGAATCTGTCCAAATACAATAATCAGGGCACAAAGTATTGAGCCACGGAGAGAGACAACATCATAATGAGGAAATGACTGGAGGTAACACCTCAATTTTACATTATATAATTTCATAAATTGTAGTGAAGGCCATTTTGAAACTTTACCATTTAATGAGTTCTCTATGACCAGTGTTTCATGTATCATGTTTTAAAACTAGGTGATGGAAAAGTAACCAACTGAGTGTTCTATTAATTTTGAGCAGATAATTACTTAATAGGTTTACTTGCATTTAAATATTTGGTGTATGAACCTATTCTGATTAATTTAAGGTGGCCCTTGATTCACTTTACATGTTTGGGTCATTTCTTTTTCTCTGAAGCATGCAATGTTGAGGAATGGCTTCTGTTTGTAAGAAGTGTCCTGATGTGGTGACAGATGAAGCATTTCACAGCCAATGAAGTACTTTTGAAATTGAGTCACAGTTTCAATTGAAGAAATGTTACAAGTGATTGTGCACAAGGTCCCACAAACAATTAGATAAATGTTTGTGGTGATGTGAATTACAAATAATGGCCAGGATGCCTGACATTGCTGCATTGTCAAGCTACACGATATGATGATTCTGGATTGAGGCTACTGCCCTGATTTTATTCAGCAAGAATGCTAACTGAGCCACTGTCAGGGACACCAGAAAATATACATATAAAAACACGTTTTAAAATATTTTCTGGGTGTTGCAAAGCTATAGTGGCTTGTTAAGCTATTTGAGGGTATTTGAGTCAACCATTTTCTGTGGACCTAGAGTCATGTGTATGCCAGACCAGGTAAGAATAACTGATTTCCTTCCAGACAATAATGGCCAAATTGTTGAGACAATTTGAACTACCTCATTGGTTCATCCCAATGCTGTGGTATGATTTGAACCTATGTCCATGAACATTCTTGATCCAGAGCTCAAGTTAATCTAGTGATTAGTGTTTAGTTATCCTCTAATGAAATAATTGGATTTTTTTTATTCAACTTCATCATTGTAGCTCAATAGAACATTTAGATCAATGTACAAACTAAGAAATATTGTGAATTGGCTCACTTGGAATCCTAGTGAATAAAGCACCGGTGTACCTCTAAAGCATCTGGGCCAGGAAGTATCAAGCTTGACCCGTGTCAGCTGAGTTCTTTGACCTGTTCGGTAGTGATCGGAACACTATAGTTATCCTCTCATGCTGAGCAGAGTAGAAGGTATCAGCCTGGCTTTTTGCTGTTGACCGTAATCTACAATTTTATGTTCATGAACAGAAACCAATTAAGTGTCTAGTAAGATTGAGGATCAAATGGAGCTTTGCTACTTTCCAGGATCAAGTAGGACAAAAGTAACAGTAAATTCTTCAGCCTTTGCAGTGCACTGTTTTACCAAGGTGGGGGATGGGCGGTGGTGGTAAGGACTGTCAAAGCTAACACAAATGAAACAGTTGAGAGGAAGTTGATGTGGGCTGTTGCATGAGTTTGTTCTATAGATTCACTATCTAGACTCTCAAATGTTTGGTGATCTAGTGAAGAAGTGCTAATGCCTGTGGAAGGGAATGCTATGCAAGTAGTACTTTGGGGGGGGGGGGGGGGGAGTGGGCAGAGAAGGGGATGGTTTTAATTCATTACATTTCTCATTCATGCATTTGTAGGTGTGTGGGTATTCAACTAACCCTTTTTAAGTTTCTATTCTGAAGGTCTTGACTTGATCTTGGACATGGTTTGAGAATCTACTTGTGCTACTGTAATTTGCTGTATGCACTGTATTGAAGAATGGCTGTGACGTCTTAAAACAGTTCACCATGGCAAGCTTCCATGCTGAATCTTTTTCTTTGGCCAGGTGTCATCAGACCATGGGCTGACTGGTTTCTTTTTCCTCTAAGCCAGAGGGAGAAACACCAAATGTAACGGTACAACAGCTGAACAATTTATAGCAAAGCAATAATTCAGTCTGGAATTCTTGATTCATCTGTCTCAGTAATGCAGGTTCTCATTATCAAACAAGCCAATGACTGAGTAATGTGATTTCAACTGTAAAATTTATTTGTTAGGCAGCAAGGACCTCATGTAACTCAGCAAGCAATCAACATCTTCAGAAGAAAATTTAATAATATGAAACATTGCAACAACAAAGGGGTTAAATTAGTAATTAAATGACTAATTAACTTATAATTAGTGACTCCAGCCTCCTTTCCACCAATGTAGGAATAGCGTGTGAAATTTGGGTTTGCAAAAAGTAATGGTTTAAGAGTGAAAGGTACTCTTATGGAAGTAGCTCTTATAATAGCTGAGCTTTTGGACGTTGCTACTCTGACCCCTGCAACCTCTGTCTTTTTGGTGCCGATGTTTTTGCTGTTGAAAACGTTCACAAAGAATCCTATGGGGTGACGTGGCCTCCTGCTTACTTAGCTAATGTTCCTCATTAGCCTGTGGTCGTTCCATTCTCTACACTTTACTGTACCACCAAAGATGCATCACTTATTTCTCTGTCGCTTTATTGTAGTATTATTGCTACCAGTGGTGATAGGTTCTGTGTCTTCAGTGTTTCATTATATAAACTAATTTGACCAGCTCAGTCAGCACGTGAGAATAGCTGCCTCCTGTTTC